CTAGAATCAGGGTTGGATGGGTTTTGAGCATGGCTAGGTCCTCCAGCAGAGAGGTTAGAATAAGGGGTACCAACCTTTCTTTTTCTGTGGTCTATTTTAGTAGGGGAACCCTCCACCCAAAAAAGGGTACTGTAAAAGTTGGCGCCACTGGGGGAACTGGATGGGAAAGCAAGCGTTGGAGGGTGCATATGGTGAACTACCTTGCTTCTTTGCTCAGCCCGTGATCTTCCAGAAACTTTAAGTGGCCACGAAACAACGGAATTCTGACAACTGTCCGGGTATCAGCAAAACAAGGCACTCCAACAAACATAGTTTCCTGAAAAAAGAGGTGAGGTGGCCTCCTTTATTGAGAACTGCACATGCCAAGCGATCTGCGAAATGACCGAAATCCACAAACAGCAACTATGGAAGCGTCCTAGCCTAGTAAGAGACATTCATCTTGGGTGGGCTTGTCGTACCCAAGCAATCAAGCTCGCCATAATTTACCCAACGGTCATCATCTCTTCCTGACTGTGCGTAAGCAGGGTTGCAACACAACAACTGATCAAGCAACATGGAGTTGGCAGGTGCAAGATTCGCTCGGAAAGCGGAACCTTCGAAGCAAATGATTTCCAGCAATTAGTTCCAGAAAGCCAGTAAACAGCCACGGGAAGGAATTGGATATTGAAAAGAAGGTGGGATTCTGTTGTTTCCGCAAAAACAAACCCTGTCTTGGGGAATCATCCTGACGGTTCCGGGCAATTGTCTCCAGTCTGTGAGCCACATGAAGATGGGTCTCCGGGACCCTGCATCGCCCCCGAAGACCAAAAAATTGGAGTTTGGTAAGGCTTGATATGGCCAAAACAGGAAAACAAAACCCAGGAAGGCAAAAGTAGGCGTCAACTTCGAGCTTGTTGTAGTGTCATTCGTATTAATGTGTTTTATTGTTTGTGGGCGCGCGCGGGTGGTTCGTACGGTGCCTGATATCAGAAGTTCAGCAATCCGGGTCACACGAAGACTTGCCTCAGAATCAGAAGGAACTTCCCTTGACTACAATCGCTCGATCTACTGACTTTTTTTTGCGGTGCTTGATTTGCCTGAAGACAAGAATGGAAGGCACGCAGACGCATGCTTGCGATAGAGACCACGTGTCTGGGGCCTCTTCTGCCTGGGGCAAACAAAGCGGTCTGTGTGGAGCCCTGCCGCGCATGCCGCGAGCCAAAACGAAAACGAGCCGCGCACACCGAGGTGTCATGGCAGGTTGTTCTATTTCACTTGAGTGGCGTAGTTCCCAGATGCGTTACAGTAGCAGTGACTGGTTCTGGCCGACATCCCGCAGCTTACCGGCTGTGACGGCGTTTCCTTTCCATGCAGGGTGATTTAGCGTTTTGCTGAAAAAACCGAACTACTGAATCTGCCCATTAACGTGTTTGTCCTGGGCGATGACCGGCAGGCTTGTCCATTTTGCATGGAGTTAGACATGCGTCCTGGGCAGTGAGCGTGGTGATGTTCCCGACTGGGGTCTGCTTTGCGACGCTCCCGTCCGGCAGTGCATGCTGAACCTTCAAGAGATCCTGATGCGAAAACTGCCCACCCAACTCAAACCTGATAGATTCCCCAAAGCAGATTCCGAGTACTTTTTGCAATTGAACATGCAAGTCATGATGGCATGCCTGGATACACCCGAAAAAGGCTGCCTGTCATTCCCAGTAAGTTGAAACTCCCGTGGCCTCACAAAGCCTCATCGTACCATTCCACCATTCCAGTAAGACCCAACCGAAAGGCTACGTAGGGTATGGATCTCCAAATCGATGGTCTCCTGTTTCCGCTTGAAGCCTTAGGACGAGTGCTTTTGTCTACAAAGCAAACTCATGGAGGGTCCCGAAGACCCAGCTGACTTCTGCTTCGAAAGCCATGTCTACAAAGCTTTCAGTAGCCCCCACCTGGTACCTCTGGATCAATCCGGGCCCTACTCATTTCAGGTTGGATTCCTTGGATCAGAGTCCTTCGGAGCCTACAAGCTAGACTGGGTAGCATGAACAAAGGTTTGGGGCGCCTTGCGTGCGGGAGAAGGCACAATCAAATGCAACATGGGGTTTGCCTCTGAATAGGAAACTCTAAAAATGCGGGGCGGTTTCCCGTCGATGCTCCTTTTTAAGCGACGCAAAGGGTACCCTCCCACCAAGACATACCGAAATAGTGACGTGCACTTCATCCACACCATACTCAGAGGAGTCCTGTCAAATGAATGTCATTGCCCTACAAGGGGGGCAATTGAACCATGAATCAGTTCCCAACCAATCAGTCCCTTCGATTGAAGGATGAGTGATTAGTGCGTTGCTTTGGCTGAACCAAAGTTGACATGGGACGATGCGAAGATGTGCCGGCTACAGGCTTGGATGAGAACGCGCTGCACTCGCAGTCAGCTGTGTCAGGGCTTGCTCAGGGGAAATCGCAAGCTCCAAACAAATGTGAACACACGCCGGGGACGTGTCAAAACTGAAGAGCCTTCTCCATGACGGGTTGGATGTTGGTTGCCTTGTTTCAATTGTTTCAATCATGCAGCAAGTAAGTCCAGCTCTTGAACATGCAGCGACATTGCTCACCGCGAATAAAACAAATGCCCACACAGCTTGAGAGTCTAGGTCCTCCAGTAGAGCGGTTAGAACGAGGGTACCCCTTTTTTTTCTGTCAGAACCCTCCCCCAAAGAAAGGTGTAAAAGGGCACTATTGGGGGACGTATGAGTACTGCAAGGTTTCCCATGGTCAAAACTGCTTGTCTAGGTCATGGCCTTCTGCTCCCCATGGTTGTCACCCCACAGCCGACGCGGCATCTGTGCCATCCAATTGGAGTACTCCAACATTTCCAGTCGCCACTAGTAGGCTTCCTATATGTGTGGACACAAATGAACATACACTCACTTATATCTCTTGTATCAGCCGACCGACACAACCCAAAAGGAGGCTCACTTTCAATATCCCAGAGTGACCTTTGAACACCAAGTCATGAAGCCCTTTGTGGAGCCCCGCGCGATCCATACGTCGCACGAGAGCATCTCTTTTCGCCCTTCTCCCAGTTCGGGGTCGGCGAAGAGGGCTGCGCGCCCTGCGAATGAGAATTGGAATGACACCAAGAGGACAACCACTTGACGGGTCCCTCTTTGAGACATCGACAGCACAGGTGCGGAGTGGAAGTTTTGAGCAAAGTTGCTGGAGCGATAGGCAGGGAATGAGGGAAGGACCCTCATAAACTATCCAACTGGTGGTAGGGGACCAAAGCCTGGGTTTATTCCCACATTCCCTGCCTATCGCACCAGCAAGCTTACAGGGCCCATGTTTATTTGAAACCATCTGGGGAGCCCGGCATGACCGGGAGGGTCGTCCATTTGCTGAAGCTGCGCTCACATTACGCCACTCATGACTGTTTCCGCTTGTCGGGGACAAATAAAAGACTACGCGAAAGCAAGAACTCTTGGCAACCCTCCAACAAGCATGCCTTTGCCAGGGTCCTTTTGCCACCTCTTTGAGGAATTCGGAATGCATGCCTTCAAGAGTGCTCTAGGCGTTAGGTATCCACAAACTTTACACAGCTACGGTTGGGGCTCAATGCAAAGGTCCAGACCCATTGAGTGCAGCTGCAGTAGCAAGAAGCGCTGCAAATGTGGAGGGCTTGCCTTTTGCATCTCTCGGGCTGAAGAAGGAACCACTTTTCTTCTTCTTCTTTTTTTTTGAGGGGGGCAGAATTGTGGGTTTGTCTTTTTGGAGTTGGTACCCATTTTTGTGTTGAAAGGGAAACCAAGGGAATAACGATTTTATGAAGTCGTTCCTTTTTAACAGAGCCCCCGACCGCATGCCCGCAAAAGAGACATCAGACTAAACACCAAGCACACCCACCTTGCTGCATCCCGCTCAGGTGACATCACGCTACAGCTGTAACCACAACACCGTGGACTTGTGTCGGGCCTTGCGTGAAGTCAATACCCCACAACATAGCGACACATGGAACATGATGTTTGTACAATTACACGAGGAGCTGGCAGTGAAGTCAAGCTGAGAGAACCAAACTCGAGCCAGTTCAACATCAAAGGCGGCAAACAGAACATCTCAAAGCACTGGTTCCCACAAGGTTCCTCGTTCAAAATCGCCAATCGGACTTGTGTCTGCAAGGGGCGGGATGGAAGAAGCATCCTTGTGACTTGGCATTGCATCTGCGGTCTCCCCTCCAGCGACCGCTCGGAAGGCGTTTAGAGTCCAGTGACAAACCGCCTGAACGCCAGTACAGAGGTTAGAATAAGGGTACTCTTTTTTCCGTAGTCTATTTTAGTAGGGGAACCCTCCCCCCAAAAAGGGTACAAGGGCACTATTGGGGGTGCATCCTATTCTTATGGAATATCAACAGCACATTCGCACACTCCGCGGAACTGGCCCCAGCATTTCCAGAAGTCGAAGCCCCCAGAATTGTACTCGCACGGTTCAGTGGTGATATGGGGGATGCTACAAGAGATGCTGGAGATGTTAGGGGTGCGGACCCTGCATCACCAGCATCATCCGCATTGAGATCCAAGAGAGAAAAAGCAGAACAACTGCAGTTCCGGCATTGCAACCTATTTATGTTATTCCCAACCCCCAATTGGCGCTTTGCTCCCCCAAAGAACGAGCTGATGGCTCTCAGACCTCGAACGTGATGCCTCCCTGAATGGGGAACTTCAAATTCGAAGTGTGTGTTTGCCCCATTCCTGCCACTGGTTTGTGCCAACTGCAAAAAATGGCCCTCGAATTTAAAAACAACAACTTGGTCTGCCCCACGCTATGCGCGTGGCGAATCATGGATGGATCCAGTTCGGAAGCTCATTGACACCAGCTTCATCCTATCGATGTCTATCCAAGGAAAGCTTTCCGGTGACACCAAAAAGCCTGCGATGATCGTTCAACTTTCCAAGGCCTGGCACTTGCAGACTTGCAGATTTGCAGACTCGCAGACTTGAAGGCTCGCCTAGGGCGGAGGATGAGGGGCACCATGA